AGGGGCGGCGGTGGGCGTTTTTCCGGGCGAGGGAGGGGCGGCAGGTGCCGGGGGCCCCCGGGGGTTCCCCGCCCGTTTTTTTTGGGGGACGCGGCGGTGGGGTTTTGGCGTGCTGGGTTGTTTTCTTGGAGGGGCGGTGTTCGGAGGGTTGCGTTTTTTTTGCGGAATGTGGTTGGGTGGGTGGCTCCTGGGGGTTTGCCCCGGTTCTGTGGTCGTTTTTAGGCTTGTGGGTGGGTGTGGGGTCCAGAATGGTGCGTTGCTTCGTTTTTCTGTTGAGCAGTGTGTTATTGCACTTTTTTTTTCTGCGGAATTGCGCTACACACTGCAGAATGTATTCTTTTTAATATTGCAATTCTGTGGTGATATACGCAACACACGCACGCATACAGAGTTAAAGGGCTTGCTCTGTGCTGGGGTCTGCTGGATGTGAAAAAGCAAAGTATATTCAATTGTTATGTGTTTTTTTTTTTGCGTACTCAGGTTCTCCAGAAAAGTTTTTTGGAAATATATATATATATACACGTTTTTTTTCCTTTTTTTTTACTTGTTTATTTAGTAGTAATAGTCAGAGTAAACCACTATTGCCTCCCAAAGATCGGCCCTTAAGTCTGAATGTCTATTGTCCTAGATAGCCTGCCGAATGAAAACTATGAACCATCGGAAATGGAGCTTGTGGAGTATGGCAAATGGCTCGGTATGGATCTTCCTCTGGATAAGCCGTTTCTCTGGATTGCGCGCGAGGGTTTAAAGGCCCCGTTACCAGAACATTGGAAGGCTTGCAGGAGTGAAAAAGGGGAACTCTATTACTTCAATTTCAAGACAGGAGAAAGCAACTGGGATCACCCGCTGGATGAGCATTTTCGGGAACTACTACAGCGTGAGAAAGCCAATCCCAGTCCTCAAAGTGTTGCCAGTGGAGCGAAGAAGAATGTGATCGAGGCAAATTCAAAAGAGGAGAATGCGGCTGAAAAAAAAAAGGTGAAGGATCAGCGCAGATCCTCTTCCGGAGGGAAGTCCAAAATACAGACCCTCAAGTCACTGAAGCTCAAGAAGGAGCTTCCCGAGGACCTTCGAATTGACTTCAAGGCGGGATCCATCTCTAGTTCGGATTCTAGCGCGCACAGTGGAGATACTGTTAGACTCAAAGACAACTCGCCTCCTGGGGGATCCCCGGCGCTGCAACGAGTAACGGAGACGTTGCGTTTCGAATCAGAGCCAGATTTCCTGGAATCTGACAAAAAGACCTTTGTGGCAAATCTGGATGATCAACTAAAGCGGTTTCAGAATGAAAGACTGAAGGAGCATCAACTTGCCAAAGAGGAGTACGAGGCGAGGCTGAAGGACTCCTGGAAAAACTCTCAGAAACGGCTGGAGGATGAATACGAAAGAAAAGCGAACACGCTGAAGGCGGATCTTGAGAAGAAGCTTCACACAGAGAAAAGAAATCTAGAGGAGAAGTATACCGCTAACATTCAGAAGCTCAGTGATGAACTTACTACCGGATACGAGAGGGAAGCAAAGCGAATACGCCAATTTTTGAACGAGAAGCAGCAGAAGGAAAGGTGCGATGCTGAGCAACGGTGGAAGTCAGAAATGGATGAGCTTGCCAAGAAAAAATCTATGGAACTTGAGAAGCTTCGCTCTTCAGAGAGTCAGACTCTCAAGGCTATGAAAAAGATTACAGGAGAACTGAAAGAGGAGGCATCGACTTTCGTCGACACATATAAGCAGGCCCATGAGGCGTTCGCCAGAGTGATGTTAGATACCAGCACTACTTACTTAAAGCTCGGTGAGGGGACTTTGGCTCAGCTAATAGATAGAGCCGAAAAGTCGTACGACAATGGAATAATGAAAATCAAAGATTGCTACGAGTCAGAAATAGAACAGATAAAGCGTAAATATGCAACAGACGTCTTTGCTTTGAAACAAGATCAAGAAAAGTTTATACAGGAAAAGGAAAAATACGAGAAAGAATATATGGAATTTGCTAAGGAAAGAACAGTATCGCTGAACGAGAGAATTACTAAACCTTCTCTGTCGCGCACGACACAGGAGGGGCAGAAAAGTCATCACAACCCCGAACAGGTGTTTGGGCCGATAGAGAGTGATCCGGTCCTTGTCCCAGAAATGAGGGGGAATTCCAAGGAGCCTGAAATGGATCCGGCAGGAGCTCAATCCGAAAAGAGACTGCTTGAGTCGGTTGTTGCGTACATGAAAGAGTCGCAAAAGAAAGAACTAGAGGAAGTCAAAAAGGATCTCAAGCGGCACACAGAGGAGGAGCTTAAAGCTGCTTTAGATGAGATCATGCAGGAGCGCCGCCAGGTAATGAGTGGTTCATTACCGGAAGAGAAGGATGGAACACCCTCTCTTCGGGACTCTGGGAAAGTTCCTATAGACATAAAGACTGGTGCGAAGGATTCAGAAAGAAGTTCCACTGTTTCTCCAGAAGCTATCATGAGAGATGATCTAACGGCTGTTGTCACAGAAGCACTTCGTGCGGTGTTTGCGGGCTCTCCATTTATTATTCCCTCCCCCACGAGTGGAGATTCCGCTGGCATGAAACGACCCAGTACCTCGGAGCCACTATCAACCCCACCGGGAAATGAAGCGAAGACGCTGTATTTGGAGAAAAGTGGAGAGCGATTTCCTGTTTCTTTTCAGGAACAAAAGACGCTCTTGGAGGGTGAACGTCATCGAGTTGCGCAAGGAAAGAAGTTTGTGGAAAATCAACGTCTGAGTCTGGAAGAGCGACGCTATCAACTCAAGCTGGCTAGGCACCAGTGGAAACATGACGTTATGCTGGCTAAACAAGATGGTATACGCTCTTCTTCACGGCGCGGCCAGTTGCTTAACAAACTTCGTTTTGCATTAGAGAGTCAAGCAAGGGGCTTGGAGCATGATGAAGCCATTCTTCGTGACAGCGAGAGGTGGCTTTTAATGAAGGAGCAAAGTGTGTATCAAATGGAACAGCAACTCAGTGAACTTGAGGAAGGTAAGGAACGTGATATGTCCACAAACAGTGTAGATACTGTGGCTCTTATGACAGGCTTCTTCAAACCAGCACTTGCATCGGCAAATTTGTACCCCCAAGGTCTGGATACCATGCAGGGGGTGACGCATACACCCAGCTTGAGTCCAGCGTACACCAAAGCCTTAGACAAAATTGCAAAGCGCCTTGAGGAAGTGACTTCTATGATGAACCTTCAGCAGCGGAAGCGGACCTTTTCCTTACCGCATGGAAATCTGCGACGACGGCGATCAGAGCAAAAACCGGCAAAGGATGTGGAGGTAATGCTCAACGACAATGGAGTTTTTTAGCCGAGTCTAGTTTTTTCTCAATTTGTTTCTCGTAATTTGTTTTTTTCAAGGGTACACCGTTTCTGTACGCCTACCAAGGCGACGGTTGTCAAAGAAGGAATCCGACGGAACCCGAAATGAATGGTTGGCATATGGGTGCCATTGTGTGATGAGAGTGTTATTTCTTGTTTCTGCATTTTCAAGGGGGATATCTCTACGGATACCGCAGTGGCATCCAGAGGGGCGTTTGATTACTCCGCGTATGTTGTGTTGTATTTCCTCCTCTCCCTTTTAGTGCCTTTCTTCGCTAATTATTTCCTTGTACTTTTCTTTCCCCTTTGTCTCTCCTTCTTGTTTTTGTTTTTGTTTGTTTGTTTCTAATCGTGATAGCGCGGAATACACAAAATTCATCATTGCGAATCACGACCTTATGCGCCAACTGAGCCAGTAACCCGCAGGCCACATCGAGTTAAGTGCCTCCCGGCGTTTATTGCGGGGATATGACAAAATTGTCAAGCGAATGTACTGTGGGGCGTGAAGCCAGGAGGGGAGGGGGTGAGGGTTGAAAAGAATTTGACACGCAACACACCTCTGTGAAGGATCGCCCCGATGGGAACTTGTTGGGCGGTAAGTATCCGTGATGTGGGCTCTCGCTGCAGGACCATGGTTGCTTGGATTCCTATTCTGTATTTCCCCATTCAGGATGTGGTGTGGTGTGTGTGACGTGTTGGCGGGNGGGGGGGGGGCGGGTGATGCTGCATTGACGGCGCATCTTGCATGCTTACTGTTGCCTTTGCTTCGCTCGCCACTCACCAAAAAAAATAATTTCACTTTGTCTCGCTCAAATGCTACTCTCTTTGCAAATATTTTTTGTTCTTTTTTTCTCTCTTAGGCATAAATCGAAAAGTTGAGGAGTGCCCACCGTTCTTTTTTCAAGCCATTATTATTTTTATTGAAAGGTTTGAACCAAGAAGAACATTTGCAACATTCATTTCATCATCTTGAAAAGCTGATCGGCCCGTCTTGAACGTAGAAAGAGTGTGAGAGAGAGAGCCGCATCCCTGCCTTTGTTTTTGTTGTTCTCTTTTACTCTTGCTTCACGACATCTGGTGAGAGATCAACAGCGGAGGTCGTGAGAAGCAGGAGTAAAAAGGAACAATAAGAAAAAGGTAACAGAGACATTATATTTTTAAGGGGGAGTGCGCAACCGACAGGAGGCCCCTAAAAGGCAGGAGGAAGACGACGACGACGACGACGACGACGCCGCCAACAGATTTGGACACCGCGTGGCGTTGACTTTCTAAACCTGTTTTATTTGAGGTACATAGTCAACATTACTCCTCAACTCTGGAGGCGCTGAACCTATATTTGTGCAGAACAGTAAACACAGCCTGTTAGCAGGTGGAAGGCTTCGCAGCGTTGCAGAACGGTAAAGTGTGCCGTGACGCAAGGCCAAGCTGGCAACTGCATACAAAGGGAATGCTTCCCGCAGCCGGCGTTTACGAGTCTCGTAGTGATCTCATACCCCGCGCGGCCACAGCGTACCAACATCCATCCTGGGAATGCGACGCAACCGAGTTCGCTTCGGAAGCAGTAGCAAGCCGGAAGGGTGCAAGTGGTGGCCGCAAGCACGCTTTTCCTCGCATCCCCTCTCCTTATTCTCCTTCGATATCGCCACAACTTACGGAGAGCGGTGGGTGTTCTGTAACACCGCCTCTCTCTGCCGTGTCAAGCCCATCCAAACAGCAATGCCATGCAGGAACGCGCTCGGAATGTACTCCGGTGGGTGATACCGCATCTATTGCAACTTTCTCCCGCCATAATCGCGGGGAAGAATGCTGGTCTGTGCGAAGCCTTGAATTTCCAGAGAGCAGAGAAAGAAAAAACCAGATGCCAGCGACACGGAGGTCTGTTCCGTTTTTTGAAGGGCCTGTGGCGTTAGTCGCAGTGCCAGATCGCCGGAGTGAAAGGGGGTACACCGCCAGTAACACTGAAGAAAACACCACAAGAAAGAGCTGTACAACTGTAGCCACCGTTATTGACGTGACCGGTCTTGGACCATGTAGGCAGAACGTCAGAGGACAATCCAACCCACTGACACAGCAGACTGAGACCACGCAGTTCAATTTACACCGTAAACAGAGGAGCCAGAGTTTGTCTGGTGCTCCACAGTCGCGGTTGCAAAGGAACTGTTTCATGGAGCCAGTACAAGATGAAGGTGTGGGGGAGCGATCACGGCGTCAGCAATGGCCGGACCTGCAATCCTACAACAACGCCCGCCATCAGGCACACAAGATAGCCCTGTTGACCATTTTGGAGAGATACGACGAGCAACTAACACGAGTCGAGGGGAATTAACTCCTGCAATGTCTCTCCCCATTTACCGCGGGAGATGTTAGTGCATAGTTTTCTGCGTTGGGGTATTTCATGTGGGCCGAATTCTCGTTGTTAATGGTGTGCGAAGTGACTCTTGTGATTTATGCATACCCCCTTTTCTTCCAATTCGTTTTGCTTTGGTTTTTCCCGCGTTTACCCACACCTTTATGCGTGTGCGTGTGTGTGTGTGTTTGTGTTTGTGTGTGCGTTGCTTTATCAAATGTTTTTGTGTGGTACTCTTTGGTGTTGCAGAAGAGCAACGCTTGTTGTTATCGACGCGCATGCGTACTGACGTCTCCTCCCTCTCCTCCTCCTCCACCCATCCCCATACCCATACCCATCCCCTGCCGCTATGGCGTTGCCTTGTTTCTCCCAACTTTTTCCTTTGCCCCCCCCCCCCCCCCCCCCCCC